CAATTCTCGGGGTCTACACAGATACTGTACATGGGTAGGGTGAGGTCTAGGGATCGAACCCTGGGTACTGCATCCGCAACTGCTAAAAGGTGAAAACCGTTTCATTTGGGACTTCATTGCATTTTGGGTAGATACGGACTTCATTGCATTGGAGTGGTGGCAGGGGCCATGAGCGCGAGGCACTCCATCTGGGACTTCATTTCATTTTGGGTAGATAATCGAATGCGTGTGACGTGTTGTTTACGTCACGCTTTTGTAGTTATTTGTAGTGGGACGCCAGTTTAAGGAGGAATGCTTCTCAACGGCACTTTGCAAGTGCTTGTCGGATGGGCTTTCAATCGTACTGTTTGGCTGTAATGGCACTTTCCAGGGGCTTTCAATAGTACTGTCGGATGGGCTTTCAATCGCACTTTCCAAGAAAAGAAGGAAAAAAAAGATGGTGTAGCAGATACTTGAGCAAATGCCTTTATTCAAGTTTATTGTGAAACAAAATGAAAAAAATGTTTTCGCTCCCGAGTTCTCAAAAGCATCCTTCTGGCGATTGTTTAACTGCCTTTTATGTTGCTGTCAACATTCTCTCGTATGCATCTTTCTTACCGATTTGGTGGGACTGGTAAGAGATCCTCCTCCAAGGGGTTTGAAGGGGGGAAGTAAGTGATTGTTTTTTTTTTTGTTTTTTTTTGTTTTTTTTTGTTTTTTTTTTAATTTGGACCATTTCTCGATTTATGCGTGTCATCCTTGCGCAGGGGCCATGCTAATCTTCTCTGTATCGTTCCAATTTTAACGGATGTCCCGAAGGACGGAAGTGAGTGATTGTAACTTTGTGAGGCATTCGCTTTTTCATCATTTGCCTAACAGGGTTTCCTTGTGTCTGTGTGATTATTCTCTTCTTCCTCGCATATCACAGGCGCTATTGGGTACCTGGGATCATCAATGTTTGTTCGGCGCATCTACCGGAACATCAAGTGTGACTAAAGGACTTGGTGGGGAAGGCTGGGAGAGGGTAAGGTCTAGGTAGTATTAGGAAATTAGACACGCGCATGGACATTCTATAGTAGGCTGACTCCGCGATCACCATTGTCCCATGTTGGGAATGCGTCGCTTGGTTCCACCACTTCAGCACCTGGGTTGGATGATTGCGCACTTCGAGCAAGAGAAATGTTTGAGAAGAGTGGGTGGCCTTTCGATGTATCGGAAGGGGGTTCTCTGACTGAAGATCCAGAATACTGAAGCCTCTGCTATGAAGTAGCAGGGGACTCCGGCTGAATGCGAAAGGAGTGGAGAGAGCAGGTTCTGGTATCAGGTTTTGGCCCTAAGTTTTCATGTTTCGTTTTCCTTCCTCCCCC